AAGCGGTAACGCGTTTTCATTGGGGCGTATTGAGAAAAGAAAACTTAACAAGAAAAAATCATATTGTATACAATTTAAACGTTTTTTGTTTATTAATCACAGAAAGCTTAAAAATACATTATCGCTATTATGGGGGCTCATTTTATTGTACAAAAAGCAAGAATGAAAATATCATAAATACATGCCTTGAATAATTCTAATGCATATCTATTACTACTGTTACTAGTTCGCCGAACAGAACTAATGCTGTAAAATAAATGAGTTTTGGCGCTTCGAATCAGATTGCCTTTTCTTTCGAACATCTTTTTATTTCTGAGTCGGAAATCTAAATCGATGAAAATTTAATTTTAATCGAATTTTATAGAGTAAACTAACCTTTAGAGATTGATTAGAAAATTTGAGATCGGTGATAGCTGATGCAGAACCCAGGCAAATTATTAAAGCATCGTAAAAAATCAAAAATCTCATACATTGTGTTTGGCAACTTTGGCGAAAAGAAGAAAGAAATAAGCAACAGATCATGATTCAACAAGCTCTTGGTTGCATACTCAGTGGGCACTCTCCAGAAAAGTAGACACATAAGAGAAGTTTGCTAGTTTTCATGGTCTAAAAGAGAGAGAGAGCTACAATGCTGTAGTAAATAAAATTACAGAGATTGTTAAAGATTTCTTAACTAATGAAACAGAGTTTAGAGAACAGTAAGTACAAATGAGACATTTTAACAATATTCTTGCGTCGCACTTGTCAAGCTAAAGCAGGCTAATGAAGTATACATAATTACACTTTCAAACGAAATATTATCTGTGTGAATATGTGAAAGAATACCAAAATACATGACACAAATTCGAAATCAACCCTACAATAGTGATACTTTCTCGGTTCGATAGCTTTATATAATATAAAGGGTGTTTCTGTTAGGTATGTGGTTATCAATGAAGCCATCCTTTTTCGGACTAAGTCTTTTTGACATCTGTAAATTAATTTATACTTAGTTTGGTTTGCCATTTTAAAACAAAAAATCTTACTCCGGAACAACCTCTGCTTTTTTGCAAACCCACCAAATGACTCAACTATTTTTAACCGTTATTTAAAACTGATAAGTTATAACAGATATCATAGTATAGGGTAAGGGTGTTAAGTATTCAATATAATCCGAAATATATATTTTTTAGAAATCGGAAAGCGATTTAAACATAGAAACCATAACACATTTGATTTTCTTTCTGGGTACGGAATCCTAGAAGTTAATAAACAACTACATGGCCGTTTTGATTACTTGGTCGGTTTCGACACACAGGATACTTAATTGTTATTGCAGTTCCTTTCGACTCTTTTAATAAAAAGGAGTTATTATTGTCGTGAATTTACAGAGCATATCTATCGGACAAAATCGTCGACCCCCACACATCTAAATTATAGAATTAAGAAACAAAAATATTTAAAGTTCGGCAAGTATATACACACATATATTTAATTCAGTTGGATGTAATGCTAAAAAATCTTGCTTACATACATTTACAGTGTACGATAAACTAAATCTCGAAATCGGCTATATTATGATTAAACTCATTTTTATACTACAATATTTACGAAAAGGTACGTTTGTTGTTATGGTAGAAAAACTGATACAATATAACTTCATATTAAACTGATATAATAATTCAAAGCAACTCTACACACACTTGCTGCGACAACCACTTGGATGTATGTCATGGTAGGCTGCGATGAATGCTAACTTTTCTAACCATATTGATAATTTACCCTCATTGAATTCACTTATATTTTTTTTTTTGCTTTATACCGCTTTATAAAAATATCGAGCCACTTTTTTTACAACTTTGCTTCTGCTCCGAATATAAAATCAAATGAGATTGAAAATACGCAATATCACTGACAATCCTTTGTTTATTTGTATCATTTGTACAGCCCTAACGGTTCTTATTGAATACAATTAACCATTTAAGAAAAGAAAAACAATATAATTTTGATACTGAGCCTTAGTTTTGTCTCAGCAAGTTTGAGCAGGCGGTTTGTTTATTTATTTTTTTAAGTTTAACTTCATATTGAAATATGGAATTTGTAAGCACAACAAGAAATTTAACTTATTCCAAATAATTTAATGAAATTGCACCACATTACATGTATTCATTACATACATAAAATACACATATATATGTACATATGTTACAACATACATATATTACAACTAATTTCAACACTTATTTAGTTATATGGCTTTTTTCCTGTAGTTTCTAAGTCAGGGTATGTTCACTTTTCCAATAACTCCCACGCCTCTTTTTAGTATGAATCACAATTCGTTCAACCTTTTTTATGCGACTCAAATCCATAAGTGTAAAACAATCCCAGTAAAATAAAAAGGATAAATAAATGAAATAAAAATGCAAATTAAAAAAGTTTTTCCTTTGATGATTGAAACATTATATATATATATAATATATATATATATACTAGGGTGATTCAAAAAGTTATTTTTTATTCCTACCAACCAGACTCAAAATTTACATTTGGGTGTTAATGGAAAAGATTTGCCGTTGTACAAATATTAATAATTTATTTTATATTCTCCAAAATATAGCAAATGATAATAATATAGTTTTTATATAGCCGAACATGGGCTTCTTGGTCGTTTTTAAAATAATAACAGCAGTATTCTTCTCCTACGCTACCTCATAGATATTTTCGAGTAGGTGTGCTCAGATACGGTAAATCTTATAGAAAATACATTTAAGGACAATTTTTTACAATTTTAATATGATCTATAATTCAAGCTCAAGTTCAACAAAAACAAATGAAAATTCCTCATGATGTGAAAAAAGAGCATTTCTACTTTACGAAATATGAAACGAATTTTTGATTTATTCAACAGTAAAATTGTAGAGTTTTCAATTCATAATGCTAAGGGATTTTGTATGATACAAGGTTATCAGGTAAAAAAAAATATGAAAAACTGTTTTCCGCATGTTGTTCTAATGGATTACTATTAGGACTCATGATTTTACCAAAGTAAAATCTCATCCTGTCCAGAAGGTGAACTCTTTTTGAATCGCCCTAATGTATACCATAACAACCTTTTATTATACTATCCAAATATATATATTTATTTATTTACGATAAATGCGCTAATAAAAACTTTCATTTCTCATCTTTTAAATGCTTTAATACCACACCTCGATTGCTTGATTGATTAAATGGTTGATTTTACCATGAACCCAAAAAAAAATTAACAAAAAAATAACAAATAAAAAACTGACGGAAACCAAAAATTGCAAACAAATCCAAATCAAAAATTCTTTTGATATGATGAATATTATTATAAATTTAATAACAATGTATTTAAATAATTGATTATGATAAATAATTAATAAAAATAACAATATAATAACTAATAATGATAAATAATTAATAATGATAAATAATTAATAATGATAAATAATTAATAATGATAAATAATTAATAATGATAAATAATTAATAATGATAAATAATGATGATGATGATGATGATGATGATGATGATGATGATGATGATGATGATGAT